AGGGTTGGGGGCTCCACGCCTTCATGCAGGTGGGTGGAGTCATGGATCAGAGGATTCATCCAAATGCTGGTGACAGTTCCATGCAGGTCCAGAGTTGCAAAACTGTGATCCTGACCCACTTCTGGTTAATTCATGGTGGTCTGAGATACACAGAAATCCCTTGAACTGGGTTGTGTTCAGTTGTGACTTATGATTCGCTATCATGAGGCTAAAGTTAACAAGCACCTGTTCTCTGAAATGGATAAACAGTTTCCATTTATTTAAAACCAGAGGGTGCCCTAGAACTTCCTTTCTTTCATCTCAAGCACACGTAGAAGCAGTGATTCTGCACGTTTTCCTTCACATGCTGGGAGGGGGTCTTTGTGTCATCCGGATGACCCAGGGTGCTCGCAGCTCAAAGCAAAGACCCAGGTCTCAAGTTCCTGCTTGTCTTGTGGCTTCATGTCTCTAAGTGTGAACGCATCGCCATTTTTACATGATGGGGAAAATTGCATATTGTAGATTGAGGGTAAGTTAAAATTTACTAAGTGATGGGGATGCAGCGTGTGAATCAGCCATCACTGCTGGGTCCTGTCACTTGCGGCAGTGGGAGTTACCCGCTTTATGTTGTCCCGCTCGCTCGAGGGCGTGACACGGATCTCCTGGAGGTCAGGATCTCCTGGATGCCACACATTGGTTTATCTGATTCCCCCGGGGCTGAGCATTTCTCACATGTGGAGTTCCCTCTCCTGTGGAAACGTTTCCAGCGTGTTGTCACCTGTAACTCACGGGTCTGCTTCCTGATGATCTGTTTCCTTCACATCCTGTGGACATTTGTCTGTTTCATTTCTACGTGTTGTGTTTTGTCCAGGTCAGGGTGTGTCATTTCTCTGTGCTGCCTGCGTGGATGGACCTGTCACATTTCCCTTTTTTTTAAGGTTATTTACTTATTTTGAGAATGAAAGAGCACGAGGGAAGGAGGGCAGGGAGAGAGGGAATCGCAAGCGGGCCTAGCACAGAGCCTGACGCCGGGCTCGATCTCAACCCTGAGATGATCTGAGCTGAAATCTTGAGTTGGACGCATAACAGGCTGAGCCACCGAGGCACCCCCTGCACATTTTCAGTAGACTTGAACTTCCTCATCTCTTCCTGTGCAGACAACCTTCTTTTGTTCTGTGAGAAAACGCCTCCTTCACTCAGGTCATAATCACACGCGCTGGAACTTTCTGTGTGTTCCACTTTGTTTCCATGACGGTTAAATCCACAGGTCTTGGTTACTGTCCATGAAGTGGACGAGGGAAAGGATTCCTTTTTTTTTTTTTTTTTT